CGTCGGCGGCCAACAGACTGGCCTGGCTATCTCTGGCATGACTGAACGCGAACTGATCATATGGCTGTTTTTGCCGCATGTTTATGGACCAGTATCACTGCTTATTAGTGGGCAAGGCATATATTTGGCACCAACATATGTTTCCAAATTATCTCCCCTCGCGCCACTCCACAGCAAAAAAATGGCTCTCGGGGAGCTGCCTGCCTCAGGCAAGAACTGATATATCGGGCATTCATCTGCACCCTCGTTCAACGTAGCCGAACTGATCTGCCTTTGCATGTAAGTAGGGGCTATAAAGAATATGTACGAATAAATGCATGTAAGAATATGTAGCCAGAGCCTTGCAAAGAAGGGACACAGGGTCGACTAAGGCCCCCCTGATGGTGAACCCCCCCAAAAATTACCTTCTCTTGTAAACGGCTTCTGCCAAAGGGAGGCACAAGGCTGACGAAGGACCCTGACGGTGAAAGGTCATGCTGAAGAATAAAAAACCGTCGAATATAGCTCACTTTTTAACGACGGGCATAGTTCCTTCTTTTATTATCATTTACCTTCTAACCAGAACAAAAAGAGAAACCACAAGCTACCGCGAGATCAATTCTGTTGGCATTTTGTCAATTAACTGCAGACATCAGGCGTGGGAAGACTGCATTGGATGACTCCCCAGCGCTTTCCACATTACAACTGTTCAATAGACTATTTCTAAGCCAATATACTCAAAAACTTCTCAAGATTTCTTTTGCTGTGTTCTTAGGAGACATTGAGGACCTTCGGAACGCAGATGATAGATCACAATGCGGTCCAAAATTAATCTCAACATGGCTAACCCATGTTCGTCCTGAGATGTACAACACTGAGCCATAATAGTTGTCTGAGAAAAGTTATGTAGCGTGGTTTTTAACACGCACACTCGCAAATGTCAGCAGCAGCCTCGACACCCGGCGCTAAATGTCAGCAGCAGCCTCGACGCCCGGCGCTAAATGTCAGCAGCAGCCTCGACACCCGACGCAAATGTCAGCAGCAGCCTCGACACCCGGCGTAAATGTCAGCAACGGCCTCGACACCCGGCGCTAAATGTCAGCAGCAGCCTCGACACCGGCGCTAAATGTCAGCAACGGCCTCGACACCCGGCGCTAAATGTCAGCAGCAGCCTGACACCCGGCGCTAAATGTCAGCAACGGCCTCGACACCCGGCGCTAAATGTCAGCAGCAGCCTCGACACCCGGCGCTAAATGTCAGCAGCAGCCTCGACACCCGGCGCTAAATGTCAGCAGCAGCCTCGACACCCGGCGCTAAATGTCAGCAGCAGCCTCGACACCCGGCGCTAAATGTCAGCAACGGCCTCGACACCCGGCGCTAAATGTCAGCAGCAGCCTCGACACCCGGCGTTGTTGTCTCCGGGCCGCCCGGCTTCGGCCCCGCGGCTGGCACTAAGCGGCGGCCAATGGGCAGACGAAAAGATGACTCAGCTGAAAGGAAGTACTTTTGAACGTTAAGAATATCGATTCGTGCGTTCAAAAGAAATCGGGGCGTATTTTTCACTTGTGTAATTTTAAGATTGATATTAAGGACGGATTAGCCTTCACAGCACCGCGAAGTGGCGCTGTATTCTGGTTGAGGAACTGGAAGATGAAAGCCAGAATCTCTATGTTTCGTGTTACTGTAGCTGTTGATTTGACTAGAGGACATCCTCAAAATTATTTAGAAAAAAGCACCCGGGTATAAGCTTTGAATGGTTCGAATTTATTTTAAAGACTTTTGGAAGCATTGTTTCACGACGATCGTCCCTGCGCGCACGGCGCCCGCCGCCTGGTGTTACCTGCAGCGGCCAACGCCGTCCAGTGTCACGAAAGCTGCAACACCAGCCATCGCTGCTCCTGATCCTGAGATTGCAAACGCGCATGGTCTAAAGCTTTGTCATCCTTTTTGTCATCCTTTTTGGTCTAGTCGTCTCTGCAAAAGAATGAACGCTCCCAGGCGAACACGAGCTGGCCTTTTTCATCCTTTACAGTTTGGGGCGTTTTGTTGATTTGACCAAGGGCCGTCCTTTTGCCGATAAGATAGATAACTTATAGAGCATCGTGCGTCGATTAGTGATGGTTCAAGGGCCATCGATCTCACGAGTCTGGTGCATAGAACCATCTGCAGCTGATTGTGTTGATTTGTAATCTTATAAACTTTGACCCGACTGAAGGTCACCAATGTGCACGAGAAAAAAGGTTGCCGACTATGTCTCATCGAATATGAAGATTCGTCGGTAATCGATCACACATCCTTTTTTGTGGCATGATGTTGTATGCATCCGTCTTGTGACGGATGTTTGCTGCTTTTTGCATTCACCACCAACAGAATATGACTACTGACATGCGAAATGCGTGATTTGTCACGCCAATGTGTCATTAATTATGACAAGCAGGGGGGGGGGAGACTCACCCCAAGTGTCATAAAGCAACGAATAAAGATGCCATAGGGATGATGCGTACTGGATCACACGGCGTCTAAACCTGCTAAAACTATCTTTAAGCAAGTACAATTTGCTCCTATAGATGACTCAAGATGCGTTCGTCACCATCTGCACCCCAGAGAAAAGACTCCCCCTGTCCAAAGGCAGGGGGAGAGAAGGCGAGAGAATGTTTTCCCTCCTCCATATTTTTTTTTGGGGGGGCCCCTTTGTCCCAAACTAAATGCATTGTAGCTAAACTTAGCTCGCCAAAATTCAGATCAAGGGTGCTCCATAACTGAGCTAGAGCGAAAGGAAATCCGGCTCGGAAGGCCCTTTCTACAGCATTACGGGTTCAAAGTTCTTCTGCTGAAGTTACCATCTTCAACATGCCAGGAGGTGCTGGTCAAACGATTGCGCTGACGGCCCTTGTTGGCTCGGGAGGCCCAGTTACGAACTAGGGCCACTGTTCTGGGTTACGAGGTACCCTGGATATTGAGAAGGCCACATTTTTGGAAAAGGATACCCCTTTCATGCATCACATCAGTGTCCTAAAATTGTTTTTCACTTGGGTGGAGGAGAGAAAACACTGTCTTCAAGGAGGTGGAAAAATCATATCACTCCCGACATATTTAATGCCACAAAAGTTGGTACGAACATGTAGCATTTTACTGCTAATTGTGTGCTCCCTACTCCTCCCTCTTTTTCAGGCCCCAAGTACCGTCGTGCTGTCCTAGTGTCCTGCCCAAGTTCAAGTACTTCCTAACTCGAGGCGTCCTCGCCATCCACCAGGATCTGTTCCGTCACCAACGAAATTTAAAACAGCCTAAATTGCCACCTGGAGCCGAATATATTACACGCCGTCACAACTTGACTGTGAGTGCGCTAAACCACCCAAAAAAAAACATAAAAAGTATGCGACGTGTCACGAATATCACCAGTATTCTCGTTTCGGAAGGTTTATTCGCACTTCGGTATCACTAGGGCGCAGGTCCCAGTGCATGAGCGACCGGCGTAAACGAACTCCATGCACCAATTCTCAACGTATTGAGGCAATACCATTGTTGAAGAAAGAGGCCTTGCGGGGTTTCACCGTCCATAAAAACACGATCCACCGCTTTGCTATCAGTTGTACACTCTTTTTGATGTCACAACCTGCAATACCTCAAGCTGCACGTTGTTTCATATCACAGCTTTGGCCTGTGTCTATAATTCCAGTCATAGGTGTCGATTTGCATTCTTTTGTAAGGGTCCCACCCTCTCCCCAATGTTGAGTTGGGCCCCAATTTTGACTTGGTCCCCAATGTTTTTGGCGGGGATGCTCAAAAAAACGTGGGTAAAAGAGGATCATAACACAAAGTCTGTCTTCTTTGACCTTTCTGCGTAGTGGCGTCTCGTACCGCTCTCATAACAAAAAGTCATGGCTGCTCTCGCCATAAGATAAAATCGTAACAGCTGAGCGGAAAACGATGCAATGAACTTAACATTCCTAGAGTCATGAGACACCCGATGGTTTGTGAGGTTAAAGTGAAAAGCTCTGGAATATGGGGATGGCCTAAGTCCTTCATGGCTAACCTCGTGCCCGTCCCCCACAACCAAAATGCGTGTCGCCTCCCATGACCGCCAAAGAAGAGCACTACCGGCGCCCTAAGGTGGCCTCTAAAAGGGCACTTTCACATGCCGATCAGAAGAGACGCGTGCGTCCAGTGCCTGTACCTTGGATCCAACCCTGCGTGATTTCTATACTGCCTGAATTAAATACTTTTATAACTCATGCAAAGATTAAAAACATATATTGCGTTAAATAAAAACGTGGGCCAAATCCGGTGAGCAAAAAGTGGGGGGGGGGGGGGGTAGGTCGCCGGGCCTTCGTTTCACTCCCCCCACAATAAATTACAAAAATGGACACCCCTGGCTGCAGTACTGCAATGTAGTTTCATGGTTTTCAACAATGCCTACAACTCAGATTGCAGAGTTCGCGCCTGGCTTATTTGCACTCCCCCAATCTAGGACCGCCAACCAGAAATCCAACACTAGATAATCCATTTCATGGCCAGGGTTACAAGGATGACGGGTCAAGGCCCGAGTAGCGAGCCATGCTTAGCGAAATTGGCTCATTATTTCGAATTTGGGGCACTACGTCTATGTAGTTATATGGCGATCTTGTTTGGTGTTTAGCAACGATTCTGATTTCAGACTGATTTAGATCAACGATTGATTTCAGAATCCTTGCCACTCTCCACGAGCATTTGGGCAGCGCGCACATCATACCAACATAACATTTCTCTATTAACGTGCTTTGATCATATTCACGTACAGCCCATTATATGTTCCAACTATGGACCTAGGACCTAATGGCCAAGTATCCAACGTTATCAAAAATAGAGCGAGGCATGAAGTGCAATTTACTTCTTTGGTACTGTTTTTTTGCTCTTTGTACCAAAACTTCGATGGTGGTATCATATGGTGTTAATTTTCTGTTCCAATTGTAGCGCAGCTGTTTCTGTTATGCGGGGCGAAATCTTTCGCCTTTGCTATCACATATTCCATATCCTTAAACCTTAGGAATAGTTGTGTTGTTTAAGCAGACACTGCTGAAAACAGCCAAAAAGAAAGCAGGAAGAAAGCAAACAAAGCTTGCTTTTTGTGCATCGGGGGAAGGCAAACAAAGGACAACTTAGGCTGCGAAAAGGGCGGTAGTTATCGCAGCACTTGTCGCGAGTATTTGAGAAATCTATCGGGCGTTAGGTAGGTGGGTGCGTCACATGTTCAGGGCCGCGGCAAGTGCTTGAATAACGGCAGATAAGTGGTGCCTTGTAGTTAATTTTGGCTGCGAAACTGACCAGGACTCAATGGAGATTTTTCAATCTGACTGTAACTGACATCCTTGGGTCATGATGGAATGCTGACTAGAACTTTTATGCAATGCAGCATAGCTATGGTTTGCTTGCTTATAGCTGCTACAAGGGCTGAGAATATAGCATTCTTCAAAATTGGTTGATTTAGTGGATGAGATTGTGGACTAAGTTGGTTACATAGCAAAGTAGGCAATAATGTCCTTTACTGAATTTGCAGACATTTATTGAATAAAATATTAGGCCCATATGATTTTCAGTGTACATTGAAGTAAACACTGGGAGAATGTTGCATAACATCATAAATTTTTGGGAACTTTCAGAGGTCCTTTTATTTGAGATGTCTAGCACTGACAGAAGGGGATTGATTGTTGACCATGAGAATGGATGATGCTATGTGGTAGCCTTACAGCTTTGCATTTCCAATAAAATTGGTAGATGATAATGCTAATTTAATTAATTAAATGACATGATGATAAACCTATCAATAATGCACAATGTTATATTGTTTGACTTCCTTACCCAAACACATAAATCAGCTAGGTCACATAATAATGACTAACACATCAAAAGTTGACATGTATAATTAGAGATCTTGAGAGAAAATGTCATGCCCTGTTCCAAGGTGGCTGATTTTTAGCATGCCAATTAGAGTAAACTTGCTTGTCTGTGCTGGATGTTTGTCTGACGTTGAGTATGTTGCCGCTACAGGTCACCTGAGGTAATAGCCTCATTATGTCCATTGAACAGACAGCATGTGAAGGTAAGCATTTCCCTGACTTTTTTGATACTTTCATGAAATCATGCTCATTGACTGTACCCAATATGTCAATTTCTAATGGTTTACAATGCAGAGTTAGTGATTTTGGACATTCCATGTGAATGATAATGGCATTGGTGAAATGTTTTGTCTATCTCAAAAGTACACCCCAAAACAGTCCTTAATTTGATCACTAGATTGAGGCGTTACCCCAAAACAGTCCTAAATTTGATCATGTGATTTAGGTTATGGGTGTGGTGTGGTGAGGCATAATCCTTATGAGCTCCCACATATTGTTGCCTGAAGTTCAACTTTTCCATGATTACTTAATTGGTTTGGGTGGTGCCACTATATATATATATATATATATATATATATATATATATATATATATATATATATATACATATATAATTATGCAGTGCCTGCCATTTGTGTTACCAATACTTGTGTTGAGTCCTTCACAAATGTTCACACAAGCAGCACTTGCACACTCATAATGAGATACACATAGGTGAAATCCTGCTCACTTTCTGTGATCTCCAGAAGGTATGCCCCACTGTGTGCTTGCATCTGCCAGTGTTAATAATATGCAGCCTGCCCTGACAGCACACTCCCCCTGCTGCAGACCTGAAGGCGTTCGAGCGCCGCCTGACGGAGGTGATCACATGCCTGCAGCCGGCCGCCCTCCGGTGGCGCGGTGAGTGACGCCCTGGTCCGCCGCTCAGCCCCAGCGCCAGTCCTGAGCGGGCGCGGACCAGGCAGTGGCGACGCGTGCGCTAGTGTGACTCGTGGGTGGGCAGGGCTGGAGCATGCGGTGCGACTGCCGTGCTGCTGGAGAAGCGGCGACTGTTTCGGTCGCCCGTTATAGCGTGGGTACCACTGCTGTCACAGTCAACGTGACGCCAGTGGGTCTTGGCGCACGTGAGGAGGGTGACGCCAGGGCAAACGTGGCACTGCCAGCGTGACGTGACGTGGCTGACGTCAGAGGTGCCACTGCTGGCGCGGCTGCTGCTGGGCTGGCACTGCCAGACGAGGTATCACGACCCACGTGTACTCTGCCGCAGTCGTCCTCGCCACCGTGTCGGTGTGCACGGCCATTGGCGCCTGGCAGTGGCTGACTGACCCGATGACGTCAGAGGTCGCCTTCGTCCAGTCACTGTTCAACCACTTGTTCTTCGCCATCTCCACCCTGACTCTCGGTAAGCGACTTCCGCGGGCGGCGCTGTTTCCGGTGGAGGGCAAGCTCGGAGCATTACGTAAGGTTAAAGGCTTGGTATTGAGCAATTGTTGGCTGCCACTCATCTAACTTGTGACGGCAGCTCTGCATAGAAAGAGCTAGGTCTGTTCAAATCCAGTTGAACGTTCTATTCGAGAATTGAAGTTTAATCAGAGTCATTTGTCCGTTTGTGATTTGAGCCATCCAGGTACACCCTGCAATGTAATGCACAAAGGCAACCAGTCACGCGTCCAACGCAGAGCTTTTGTGACAGCCTCTAACATTGACACTCCTCGTCAGCATTGTTTGCCATTTGCGTTCACCCTGCGATGTGTGGGTCGCGCCCATCGTAACGATACTGGCGTGAGGAACTGGAACGATACTCACCTCGGCGGTGGCTCGCGGTTGTACGATGTTGCTGTTCACCACCGTGCCCCGCCTGCCACAGTGGTTCTCTTCCTGCTGGGTATTCACAAGCGGGTGGTGGCGCCGTCCATCGTCTGCTCGCGCACGCGCCAGGTGCTGGCCGACTTCAACATGTGGTGTGACGACACGGGCAAGCTGGTGCTGAAGCCGCGGCCTACCGCGTCGTGACGCCGCCTGTCCGTCTGACGCTAGCGCCGCGGCGGCCGGCGCGCCAGGCACAGCCTGCGCCACCGGCCGCACGGTGGCGCTGGCGTCTGCGGGCCGCCCGGCCGCGGCACGCGCGTTGGATGAGACCCGACGCAGAGGACGGGTTCTGTGACGTTCTGTTCGCTGGTGGCAGCGCCCCCAGGCGGGGAGGACAGGCCGGCCCGCAGCGCTGCGCCGAATCTCGGATAGTGCGGATGAGTTGCCGCCAGCGTCGTGTGGACTGTGTGACACGCGAGTGTGCACAGCTTGTACTGATCGTTGGCGAAGTATGGGACTGCCCAGCATCGTCTGGGGGCCGGTCCCCCCGAATGTGACCGCTGAGTGAGCGATGTGGCACTGGACGTTGATAGTTTCGCCACGACGAGCCCCCGCAGATTGCTTTTACCATCTCGGTATGGTGGTGCACTCAGCTTAAGTGACGCCTTGAAGGTGCGCTGCTGTGTGGTACGAGTGACATGGATGTTGTTTTAGATCATGACGTGCAGTACGTTATCATCACGGAGCGCGTATTATGCGATGCCGAGTCAGAACTATAGGAATTAGGAACGCTACGTTGAATAGACGCTATGGCCGTGATTGGTGAATGCCGTGATAGTGATACCAATAGCTTAGAAATGAACCAGTCAGGTGCCATCACTCGTGCTTACTGATCCCGTGCGTCGTGGAGTATCTGGACCGGCCTGATATGTTCGATATCTGTCGTCACGACGTCGGTTCCCGATACTCTGGTGGACCACTTCCCAGTCTTCTCTGTGCGACCAAGAAGACAATTTTTGAGGGTGCCCGCCTCCGACACTTTCAGAAACACGTCCTGGCATCCATGGACACGACCCATACTTAAGCACGATTGAAACGAATGAAAGCCAGCTGCTCCAGCACACGTCCCACTGCTGTCAGAGGCATTCCCTTCACGGCTGTGCCAAGTCTGCGAAGAGCCGCACACGCAGCAATAGCGTAAGAACACTCCGCTCATCTCATAACCACGGACGCAGAACGACTGCGCAGCAAGTGGGCTGAAGACGGGAGTTCAATGTCTGGTAGCTCCACACTGGATCCAACCGATCGGTGGCTCTCTGCGCGCCGCCATCGTCACGCTCACAGTCGTGAACCGCACACTGACAGCCCGCATATATTCGTTGATGACAGCACGTGGCAAACAACATGGTAACGAGTATGAATATGGAACAGTGTTGAGAAGGTATGGAGCGAGAGGCGGCCGAGCGTTCCTCAGCCCCAATGTTCCTCAGCAGGGGGCTGCTCACTGACTTTCCTCACCGCGCGGTACTTCGCCATCTCATTGGGGAATACCTGGGACAGCTCTACCTTCATATTCGCCTTGAAGCGCTTGTATGAGTCAATCTTTCCCTTGACCTCTTCATTTTTCGTGAGCGCCTTCTCCATACAGTCCTTGGTGTACAGCTGGGGGTTTCGACCCTGATCGATGTAGCTAGAAAGATGTACATGCATCAAAAAAATGCCTGCAGATGAGCTAAGGTACATGTAAACAAAATAATGTAATGGTCACACAGAACTTGATGTAAAATGCTAAGGATTGAACTTGGTTGTATGGAGCCCAACCTTTCTGCCCAGCCTCACAAGCCTGACACACAATTTTCTGACATGCAGGTAGCTTCATCATGACAATACATTCTTCCTGTGGTATTGATGGAATTGCTTCCTAGCACTTACAATATAACTCGGTAGATCATCACTATTACCCAGCACAATACACAGTTCTGCACGAAGGCAGGCGATGATATCTGAAAACATCTATGTAATGCTATACATATGCATGAAATGTTATTTCGCATATATGTATTTATGTATAATCATCGCTGGAAACAAACTTACTCGAACACCTCAAGAGGAACTTGCACATCTTGCACTTCATTCTTTAACTTGTCAATTTCTTGCAATCCACTGACCATCATCTGGCTGAAAGGGGGATTCTAGAAATAAGATTGCTTCTATGCTCAAAATTATGGAGTAAATTGTGTCCGGCAAAACAATTCACAATCATCTGTCATTGGCAGGAGGTGTGGTACACGATTTATTTCAAAACTGTATATGCAATAGTATTACTATTATCAGCAGCAACTGATGTCCGTGAAGTTAGGGACTTATTTGGCGCTTTTTCAGCGACAAGTACCGATTTCTCTGAAAAATGTCTCAAGGTCAATTGTGGCCCGAGAACACCAAAAATGCCCCTTATTTTGCAACATCACGTGACCTTCAATGTCAAAAGCTGGGTCTCAAGGGACGGGGAACTCGGTATCACCCAAAAATTACATGCCGATTTTCAACTTGCAGACGTCAGAGCATTTGCCACAGAAAGAACTAGCGTCCGTCAGAAAGTCCTGCCCTCTCAAGGTCACACTTCAAAGTCAAACAGATTCAAAGGAAGGGGAACTCGAATATCACCCCAAAATTACCGGCCGATTTGAAAACCATAACCATCAAACTATTTAAAGCGCATGAGCTGGCTTCCGTCCAAAAGTCCTGACATCTCAAAGTCACCCTTCACGGTCAAACGCGGGCTCAAAGGACGGAAACCTCGATATCACCCAAAAATTAACGCCCGATCTTCAACTTACAAACATCAGAATATTCGCCACAGAGAGGACTAGTGTCCGCCAGAAAGTCCTGACCTCTCAAGGTCACCCTTCAAGGTCAAACGCGGGCTCAAAAGACAGGGAATTCGATATCACCCCAAAATTACCGTCCGATTTTCAACTAACAAACACCAGAATATTCAACACAGAAAGGACTAGCGTCCGTCAAAAAGCCCTGACATCTCAAGGTCATTCTTCAAGGTCAAACACGGGCTCAAAGGACGGGGAACTCGATATCACCCAAGAATTACTGGCCGATTTTCAACCTGTCAGAATATTCACCACAGATAGAACTACCATCCGTGAAAAACTCCTGACCTCTCAAGCTCATTCTTCAGAGTCAAACACGGGCTCCAAGGACGGGTAACTATATCACCCAAAAATTACCACCCGATTTTAAACTTGCGAAGGTCAAAATATTTTCCACAAAAACAAATAGCGTCTGTAAAAATGTCCTGACCTCTCAAGCTCATTCTTCAGGGTTAAACGCGGGCTCAAAGGACGGGGAACTCCATGTCACCCCAAAATTATCGGCCCATTTAAACTTGCAAACATCAGAACATTCACCTTAAATATTGACCTTCAAGGAATATTGAAATATTAACATTGAATGGCTACCTTAAGAGGCCAGGACGTTTTCACGGACGCCAACTCTATCTATGGTGAATATTCTGACATTAGCAAGGTGAAAGTTGGCCGGTAATTCTTGGGTGATACCGAGTTCCCTGTCCTTTGAGCCCGCGTTAAACCTTGAAGGGCAACCTTGAGACGTCAGGACTTTTTGACGGACGCTAGCTCTTGCGCTTGTGAATATTTTGATGCCTATAGTTTTCAAATCGGCCGGAAACATTTGGCTGATATCCGAGTTCCCCGTCCTGTGAGTCCGCGTTTGACCTTTAAGGATGACATTGAAAGGTCAGGGCTTTCTGACGGACGCTGGTTGTTCCTGTAGTGAATATTCTGATGTTTGTAAGTTGAAAATCAGCTGGTAATTTCGGATGATATCGAGTTCCCCGTCTTTTGAGCCCGTGTTTGACCTTGAACTGGTGGCGTTGAGAAGTCATGACTTTCGGACATACACTAGTTCTGACTGTGGTGAATACTCTGACATTTGCAAGTTGAAAATGGGATGGTAATTTTGGGTGATATCAAATTCCCCATCTTCTGACCCTGCCTTTGACTTTAAAGGTCACATGATATTGCAAAATAAGGATCATTTTTGGTGTTCTCATACCACAATTGACCCTACAACCTTTCTTCAGGGAAATCAAAACTTGTTGCTGCATAAATCACTGAATAAATCGCTAACTTCACAGACATTAACAACTGGTCATATGCAGCAGTGGTATTGGTACAAGGATACATCATTTTAATATTATGGTACCTATAAGCTTCCAATAAGTATTTCATGCATGAAATGGGGCATCATAACCAAGTGAGTGCAAGCATGACCAACCTTGCAGGCCACACTCAACATGGGGGGAGACAGGTTCAAATCCAAGTTGTGCCACGGCACCTGAGTGCTAATGCAGTTGCTAGTACACTATAGAAGTGGCAACGCCATGCACTGGGTTCTCCTGTCATAAAAACAATGCTGTCTTCCCTTAAAAAACACATTAACAATAATAGGAGCAAAGATTTAATGAAGGTGGTAGAGGTAACAAAGTGTTCACCTGCACCATACTGTACAAAGCTTACATTTTTTGATTGAAGACACCTTGACCCTGTGGCTTGGAAGTCGCTCACAATGATACCTAGCTTGGCGAACATTTTCTGTAAACATTTCTAGCTGGGTCTCCAATTTTTCAAGAGAGGATGCCATCTGAAAAAAGAAAATGGCACAGCTCAATGTAAAAATATATGCAACATACCACAACCATCAATACTATATCACAACTTGTGCACAACATAGAACAAAACAGGGCACCAAGAAAAAACCAACCACATACCTATGCATGACTAAGGAGACCACAAATTTGTGTAGCTACTAGCTACACACTCCCTTACACATGGCCTCCCTGAGCACCAATAGTATAGCAGTGTATCTGACTATGCATCTAGAAAGATTGAGAAACTGAGTTTGATTCTTTGTGGCCCTTGTCCTTCCTGCCAGGGTGAGCAGCAGGCAATGCCCTATAGCCTGAGCAGCTGAGTGTGCCATAATGCCCTGGTGACAATGACATGTGACCTTCCACACTCTAAATAAGTTGGTACTACACACTTAATGATGCAAAGCATTACATGCATGACATGGTGTGCAATCTGCACACCATGGGAGATTTTGGTGAGATCCATTTGAGATTGTGGTGCTTTAATTGCAAACAAAGCACACCATCACTGGCCTCTGAGCCTTATTACAGGGCACAACTATCATTACACTAAGGGTGTATTCACAGCTACCTAGACACAAATAATAGATGCAGCCTACACACATCACACCACACTTACTCGGCACCTACTTTTGTTATTTTGATGTTCCAATGTATTCCCAGCAACCCTCGCCTCAGACATTGTTACTACCTGACTTGACATAAAATGTAGCTTTGATGAAGACAAAGAATAATCTTAACAAGTGATTTGATCAAAGTGAGACAGAGATGGCACAACAGGTTTCATCATGAAGAAGTCAAGTTACAGACCCAGGACCACTTGAGTGATCAAAAAGGTGTTTTGTACATCACAAATGGCTTAATTTGCAGTGTCTACTATTCAGAGCAAATACAGCACCTGAAAAAGTGTCTGCATTTGTTGGCAATGTGGTGACATTGTGAGCACATAACAAGAAAGCATGTCACACCATGAACATAAATGGAGAAGATTATACATGTCATGTAGAATAGAACATTCTCAGCATGCTGTGAATACATTTTATAATAAAAGGCTACCATCTCCAAAAATGGCATGAAATTAAAGAACAACATTAAAGTTTTCTTCTAAAAAAACAGTGGACAAAAATCCGTTTATGGCCACACATTTCCGGGAGAGTTACGTTGTCTGGGCTTCGGCGACGAACTCCAGCCATTCACACAAATAGACGCCTCTTCGTCCAAAGCATACCTTCTACGAAAATCCGATAATAGAGAGCACTGGTCAATGAATGATATCTTAACTATAAGAAACAGGGCAGACACATGAGAGTGGCATAGTCCATCGGAATAAAACTTTCTCGGCACACGAACAGACGAGCGCCCGTACTTCCTAGTGGCACCGTGCCGAATTCGACTACAACTTTTGTTGATGTACCTAAAATGCTGCATAATTTTTAAGCCATTGGTATGTATGCCATGAAAACATTTGTGATATGAATTGGTCCAATTGTACTCATTATGAGAAACTGAGAGAATGGAAACTTCTTTATTCTTCAGATTTTTAAGAAGCATCTTTAAAATGGCCTGAGCATGGCACGAGTCGTTTCTTCCAAAGGCAGAACGAATTGAGGCCACAAGCCCAGTTAGGTTAGGTTCATCCTTATGCTGTACGCTGAAATTTAAGAGCATTGAATCATCAAAATATTTTTTCCCAGAAAAAGAAAGACTAAAAACTTATAGAACGTTTTCATTCTTTACGATATCTTGCTTCATTTACACGTTGCCCAGGTCCACGCGATCCGAATAGAAACATGTTCATTAGTGTCTTGTGTAACCGTGTGTGGCGCCACCGGCGGAAGCGTGCGTTGTCGTTCTCACTTCTCCGTCGAGCATTGAGTCCCGTTGGGCTGTTGGAAAGGTGGGCGTTGGGATTTCGTTGTCTATGAAGTAATATGAAATGTGCGAGGTGTCCTTAAGCGACCTGTGACATTTCAGATCGAAGACGTTGCCGGTAGCTTCTAAGGTGTGTCGGAAACCCATGCATTTCGTGGACGCGCTTAGCAACTGCAATAAGATTTGGAGTCAGGATTTGTAATTGCTTGAAGCATATCTATATTTTGTTTTTCGTGGTGTGTATGCTGTTTTGGAGACGAACCCGAATTTGACTCGTGGTGGTGAAGTATGCCAAAGGTTCTCAAGTGTGACATCTGCCATATTTGAAGTTGTAAATGTCAGCGATGTGAGACAAGATGCACTGTTTTGTGCTGATGATTATATCATATCGGTCTTGTTGCATAAACTTCGAATTCTGGAGGCGAAGTCATGAAACAATGTCTTTGCCTGCCAAGCTAGACATTGGCTGAAATGGCTTCAAATGATTTTCATCTGTGGTATGTCACACAATGCAAAGGCTGATAGTCATGCAGGGATGAAAAAATGTAATGGGAGAGGGAGAGGTGTTCAGGCTATGCAAATCCCCTCAGGGACTTTTAATAATTTTGGCAATTTAGACTTAAGATTTGTAGAGTAGTCACCATTCTAATTTTTGCTATTTGTGATTTGCTGGACTTTATTTGTTACTGTCATTATTCCATCAGACAATGCTGTTTAATCTTGGCAAGGATGTGTAGCAAAACTGGCCACTTGTCATCCTATTGACAGGCTACTATATTTTGCTGTTAACTTTGTGTAAGTTTTATGATTTTCTCATAGGATACACACATTTATTCATGTTTCTCTACTCCCTTGTAGGGACTTTGTTTCTTTTACATGTGTCATACAGAAAAAATATAAGCAATGCAGGATAAGAGCACATATGCTTTGTATGACCAAACCTTGTTTGAAATCACAGATTATTAACCAACAAGTAATCCTGAATAACCCCACCCAATATCACGCCATCCTGTGAAGAGCTTCAGGAAACAATAACTTACCTGCTATAAATCACACCGCTTTGTTTTCCACGCATTATCATCAGCGAGTTAATTTGGTGATGCACATTTAAATTGTGGTGTGGTTTTCAGATGATGCACACAGCATAGGTGTACTTGGCTCATACTACCAGCAAAATTTTATCTCATGTACAAACATTGCTGGAGGTACTGGAGCATGCTATTGCTTTGTGAAATTGTGTACCATTTATGTGTAGATAACAGCTTGGGTTTGGCATGGCTATTCCCAGGAACTCAGAAAAATTGACATTGGCTATGTGTCCATGTTGAGAAAAAAGCATCCTGAACCATATTTATCCCAATGCTGTCATGCTGTCACTATCAGCTGCTGGATCTAGGCTTAGGATTTGATGGTTTATGTATGTGTCATTGAGGCTTTACAACACTCATCTGCTTAGGCTATATGGCATCACCTGCCCCTCCCCCTGGCAGAAAAGATGACCACAGCAGGGAATCAAACAGGGTACCTCTGGTTTCCTAGACTCATAGGCTGCAGTTTAATGCAGACACCTTAACCACCACGCTATTGGCACCATGAAAGTTCTGCATGAAATTAGTTGGAACAAGAAAAAGGCATCGTTGGTGAAATATTACCATAGCACTTGGTGGTAGCAAGGCTACAATTAAATAGGGCATTCCACCTTTCAGGCATTAAAAAAAAAACACTGATGAAAGCATAGGACCACTAACAAGTGAGAGAGGTACTGGGTACTGGCACTGAAGCACCAACAAGAGATAATGATTAACATTTTAATATCAATTACAATTTCACATAATGCTTCCTACACTTTGGTAACAGCACTACACTTTTTCCATAACAGCTGCAGTCATCCCACATCGTGTCATGAAGAGGCAGAATCTGTTGAGGGCCTTGTCAGCTGTTGCGGGTTAGAGGTACCACTTTTTAGCTATTCTGATCTGCATGTTGCTGTGTGTGGCGTGCTTAAAAGTGGTACCTCTTCTGGTGTGAAGGAGGCCAGTACAAATGAAGTTTGTGGTTGGCACAGAGGGAAGCAAGGGTCAGTTACTGAGAAGTGCATTGGTTGAAGTTTAAACCAGTGTGTGGCTATGGACCATGTGCTGCATCATGCGTTATATATTTATCATACATAGCTGTGATAACCTAAACCAAAGTGAGCATCGAAAAGAGTCGCTGTGGTAAACACCTTAGGGGAGAAATCAAAACCTAGTACAGCATTTTGTTGAGTTTGTGGGATAATTGCCTAATGTTTGCATCTTTATTTCTCCAAACAAAGTGTTTCAAGCTTTGGTAGCATTTGTTACTGAAGCACATTGACAAGCTAGTGTGTTGCAAACATTGCAAACACATCTGTTGTAAAAAAATGAGGCAAATTAAACACATCACTTTCATGATGGGATGGAAGATTTCCAGTGAGATTCCCCCAGCAGGAGAGACTACTTCAAACTGTAAATCTGAGCTATTCAGAAATTTTTAAGAAAACTGGTATTGTCAATCAAATTGGGCAGGTCAGATCTAACAATAAGATAGGTACAAAAATGTACCAGACACCCTTTGTCTTAAAACTGTCTTATATGAATTATCCGGCTGAATCCCCTTATATTCATATTTGTGATACCATACAAATAGCCAGCTTGGTGCTCACTCACAATGAACATGTAGTGTAGGGTATGTGGTCACCATGTTCTCTTCAGCATCATGTCATGCGGCTGAACACCAGGAAGCACACCTTACGAATTGGCTCGACATGCCCTGGAACATGGATGGACATGGGTGGTGGTGACCCTACACCTCTGGTTGCAGAGCCTGTGTGCTGCAGCAGCTAGCTGGCAGCCATGAAGTCTGGCGAGAGTGAGGAGTGGGGGACGGCCGGCTGCTCGGAACAGGACCACCTCATCCCGCACGAGGTGCTCAACCCCTTCGTGATGCGGCTTGATGCCCTCAACTCCACGTATGACAAAGTCAAGGTAACCACCACCGCCAGTCTCCACCGGGCATGAGGACCGTGTGGGACGGTATGCCATGTGTATCGCGGCACGCGCCCCATGTGGCGCGTCAAATTTGGCGCAGGCTTTCCTGTGAATGTTGGACCAGGTTAGTGCAAAGGTTTTGTCATAAGTTCCTGTGTCTACATGTTTTGGAGGTTGTTGAAGTATCATGTGAGGTACTCCGCCTGTACCATCGACCACCAGTTCCGTCATGATTCTACCCCTTTGACTCAGCTGTCCGTAATCCACTGTATATACAAATCAATACATAACTTAATCACAAGGTGTAGTGTGTGGTGCAGTCATTCCGAGTCTAGTTTGCCAGCATCGGATCTGTGCCGACCATGGCACGACTGCTGTTTTTGCATACAACGTGTCATTTGCAGCCTCGTTTTTGCACGAAATTGTCGTTACGTCCGGTCTTGTCCTATACCCTTTTTGGTACGTTCGTCCCTGTTCTTTATTCGATACCCAACGTGATGTCTTTTTCGTCCTCGTTTCCGTACCCCATGTCGTGTCTTGCTCGTCCTCGTTACCAAACCCCCTGACGCGTCCCTCGTCCTCGCCGCACCCGGTGTGGTCTGTCCAGTCTTGCACGGCGAGTCTTGTGATGTGTGTTCTCGCGTTTCGCGTCTCGCGTCCGCGCCGCCCGCCGAGCGCGACACGTTGCGCGCGCCGGCCTTGACCGTCACTTAGCGCGTGATTGGCCGGGTCGCCGCCAGGTGGCCGTGCTGACGGTGTTTGTGCTGCCGCTGCGGATCGTCGGCCTCTGCCTGTGCGTGCTGTTCGGCTGGGTGTTCGCCTGCATCGGCCTGTACGGCCTGTCGGAGGAGGACCACAACCGGCCGCTGCGGGGATGGCGCAGGTCAGGTCACCCCCGCCGGTGCCGGCTTGGCTAGAGGTGCCGCCAGCCGCACGTGCTCGCGCACGCTGGTCGCCGACCCCGCACAGCGGAGACACGCACACTGACAGTCACGCGTGCGCGGACACTCGGCCCTGTACGCGACTCAGACCTGTGCGCTGCCGTCTGAGAATAGACGGGCGCCGAAGCGTCCGACGCTCTGACGCACGTTACCCGGGCCCCCTGCAGTCCCGTCTAGGGTTCGGATGTAGCGCCTCCTTTTTGAGTTTCGGCGTGGGGGGTACGAGACCCACAAAGCCAGGCATAGATGCCTCCTTGACCTGACCTTTCGGTTGTCGCTTTTCGTGCTTCTCGGGGGTGCCAGTAGTGTAGCGATTAACGCGTCTGCGTTAGCCATTGCGCGTCTGGGAAACCAGAGGTACGGTGTTGAATTCCCCGCGGTACCCGCCCTTCCTGCCAGGGTGAGAGGCAGGCGATGCCATATAGCCCTGGCAGCTGAGTGCGTCGTGCAGCCTCAATGACGCACATACAAACCCGTAGTTCTCACGGGCTTGCGGGGCTCGCCAAGCGCAGACATGCCCTCTCCCCCCCCCCCCCGCCCCGGCCTGAGCTCAGCACGCTGCGGGGGGTTAGCGCCGCTAAGCCGCCGCGAAGCCGCCGCGACAGGCAGCGTCGATAGGCTGGTAACGGCTGGTGTCCGCCCGGCATATCCCTGAGCTGGCATCGATGCCGGACTGAGTTCTGGCTCGGTTCCGGGCTTTGGCATTGACCCACGCGTCGCAGCGTGCGCGAGAGGCCGGCCTTGGCAGGTGTCATCCAACTTCACCGCCTGCTGGTTTTGCCTTCGCGTCGTTCGCTAGGCAGTTAGTCACTGAGTTTTATGTTCGCACCAATCGCCTTGGTTATTTGCGTCAGCCGCGCGCGAGACACAGGCTAAGTACACTGGCACTGGTTTATTGTGAGACATGCTTACCGTGTTTCCAAAGCAGTGGGTTTCCCACAATCGTGCAGTGATATTGTCACCAGATGCAGTGTTTGCTGATGGATGCAGTAAAGAAGCTGTTACGCCCCATGCAATCAGTGTTGGCTTTGCTTCTAAGCAATTGCAATTTGCTGCCATCGCCCATGTCTACAAAGTCGACGCTGTTGCCCCGCCGCAGAAGTGTGCCGCCCGTCTAGCGGCGTTGTCGCCAGTGTGTATGTCCCGTCCCCGGCCATTCCGCCGCCGCCTGTGCGCCCAGTTCGCACCCCGCCCTCTCCCTCCCCTGCTGCCATGTGCGTCCCCCCCCCCTTCCCCGCCCCCGGTGACGCCGGCCCGGCTGCGCAGATGGCTGCGCTGGGTGGTGCTCTTCTGCACCCGGTCCGTGTTCGTGTCGGCCGGGTTCCCCTGGGTGAGCGTGCGTGGCCAGCGCGCCGACGCCGTCCAGGCACCGGTGCTGGTCGTGGCGCCGCACTCCAGCTACTTTGACGTGCTGCCCGTGATCGTCATGGCGGCGCCCAGCGTCGTCGCCAAAATCGAAACATCCCGCTCGCCCATGTTCGGCAGTAGGTACCGGGGGCAGGCCGGGCGCGGCCTCAGCTTCTGGCCGGGGGCCGGCCGCGCGCTCTCCTCGACACCGTCCTACTCCGCCTCGCTCCCATCCTCGGCTCGCTCTCTGTCGGCGCCGCCGGCCTCGCTCTGTGTCTAGCTCTCCCTCCTCGCCCGGCCTTCGGTGTGCCCTGGCACGCGCTGTCCGTCTCCGTCCGGCCGACCCGACCTGACCTGACCTGACCTGACCTGACCTGACCCGACCCGACCCGACCCGACTCGGTTCGGCGGCGCACGTCTGTGTAGCGGCTCGGGCGGGCCGGGCTCGGTAGAAGCGTCCAGCTGCACCGCTGGTCCGGGCGCGCCGCCTGGGGCTGTCAGTGGCGCACACTGCCAGGCGGCGGGGCATGGCCGGGGCCGCGCCGCCACCGGGCGCCGGCCGTCACGACCTGACGTCATCGACCGGGTGCTCCCGCCGGCGCGCCGCCCACCCCGCCTCGTCCGCGCACTGGCCGGCCGGCTAGACCGCATGCTGCACGCTTCGTGACCGCATGCTGAGCAGTCGGTGGCTGGCTGGGCATCGCTATGCGTGTTGGGTGTGCGCCTCTCCCACTCCTGTCTGTGCAGGTCGTCGTGGCATGCCCCACGGTCTGATGCCTGTCCGTTTTGCCTCCGTCTGCACTCTGGATGTCTTTCTTGTTGCGGCATGCGACGCGCGTCGCTAAATAAGTCACGTCTTGTCCGTTAATGTAGCTGCCTGGTCGGGTCGCGCAGACGCGTCCTAGCGGCGACCTCGATAGCCTGCGGCGGTGGTCGGGACGAGCGCTGCCCGGGTCACGTGACCTTACTGCCGGAGACCTGGCATCGCGCGCCGCTGCAGAATGACGGTAAGGGGCCTCGAGCGAGCGTTGCTGCCGTCGCGCGCCGGCCGGCCGCTTGAGCCTAGCCTGCGCCGTGCGGCGAGAGGAGACAGCGGCGCCAGAGGGCCGGACGGGCGCCGACATGCCCCTGGTGCGAGGGAGTCCGGACGGCACGCGCACGGGCTCGCTCGGCAACGGTCTGCGCTCTTCTCCGGCACGGACAAACGAGTGGAGGGGAGTAAGTTCGAGGCGCCCCGTGATCGTGAGCGCCTGTGTAGTAAGGGACCCGGAGCCGTTTCTTTTTTTTGTATCGTCACCTCTCTCTGGTTTGTAGTTGCATCGTACGCTATTTTTACGATACGTAGTGGCTCTGAGCTAGAGACTTGTCGCCAATTAAGTGGTAGAGATCTTTCCAGCCCTGAATCTTCGTCGAATCGCCATGTCGTTCGGTGAGTCAAGGCCCAAGTTTTCACCCCTTCCCGTCACTTTTCCTCCAACCAGCTCTTCTCTAGCTGGCCCCCTTTGTTTTGTAGCTTGGTTAAGGCCCGGGACGTAGTGGAGGGTCCCAGTGACGGTTGCATGCCAGCCGGCTGAAAGGAGACGCTGCCACCTTCTGGCTTTTACTGGCTTCTGCCAGATGAAAATGGCGTAAACTGGCTGAAAATCAGCAATCCATAGGGCTTCTGTTCGGCCAAGTAAGCATCCTGTTTCGGTCACTGGTGTTTTCTGTCCAGTCAACACATCCGCAAAGCACACTGGTCAGCAGCATGCCCAAAACAATCGGCGCGTTTGCTATAACTAATGCATACATTGGTACGCGAGCCTTTGCCCCAGCATCATGATCGTGGCTTATGTGATGCGGGACTATTTCGGTGACAGACTGTACTCGGAGGCACGGATGCATTATCCAGCACGTGATACAGATATATAACATCATACAAATGAGCTTGACAGAAACGGAGCACCATATAATCTGCATCATGTCATTGGGCACTAACTGATCAGCGAATTAGGGAAATAATAGTCAAAACGGCTGACATAAATAGAGAGAGCTCTGTCAGCCATTTTCTGGCGTGGCGTTGCCACCTTTGTGATATGGATGGGGAATGTGAACCTGGGCTCGCCAAGTTCATTACGCCTGTGCTAGTGCGAAACGCCCGATTGGTATGTTACAAGCTTGCAGTTGCAATAGCTGTGCTTATCACCGGGTTGAATGAATCATCATTCCAGGGTCCGTTTTGCCGCTTGATTCCCAATATGCGATGATCAGCCAACCAGGCGCTCATGATAATTTTTATGATGTAGTTGGCCTAAACAAACATGTACATCTTATTGATAGTGTTAGTGCAATGCTTTGCATGATTAGATTATATGAAATATTTCGGCGGACTCTCCTAGCTTGGCACCAGTAGCTTCCGCTACCTTCTATTCACGAGTTTGGGTTACACTCATAACCGGCTGGTAGAAATCGGTCCAGCTGGATGCTGCCAAGTGTCCACCCGTACTTGCCAGTGCCAAGCCTGGTCTAGCGTGGTCTGGTCTGGCTTGAAGCGAGGCCTCGCTTGTAACGTTGTTCTCTCTATGACCTGAGGAAGGCGCTAGTGGAATGTACAACCGCTGTTCAGCTATTTTCTGCAGCAGCCTTATCTTGTACGATGAGAAAAGGCTGCTTACTGGCATAATGACTTCTATCATGCAGTGGTTGCTTTGTTTTGCCACCAGACGCCATCATTACCCCACAGTGTACTACGGCGCACTTAATTTTTGCCAATTTCTGCCATTTTTGCCATTCGTAATTGCCATCAGTCAGTTTTAACCGGTAGAATCCGGCTGGCAGCGACTTTCAGCGGGCGGCAGCCAACCCTGGTCCCAGTGTCACGGGAGTCTGCTTGGTGTGCGTGTCCGTGTCAGCGGTTGCTGGTAGCCTGGCGCGGCCGGCCGGCCGGCCGGCGGCGCTCTGTCAGGCAGCGCGGCCGCCACTTCGGCGGTGGCGGTGACTAACCGATCGGCCGACGCCGCGCGCTCTGTTCCCCGCTGCATGCGCGCGAGCGGCCCCCCATCTGCCACCCACGCAGAGGCCGCAGGCGACGGCGCCGCCCGGCGGGAGCGGCCCGCTCGGCTGTCTGGACTCGGCGACCTGACCTGACCTGACCTGACGTGACGTGACCCGGCCCGAGCTGACCTGACCCGGCCCGATCGCCGCCGGCCGGGAGAGAGGGGCCTCTGACGCCGCCCGGCCCCACCACAGTCGGATGCGGCCGCTGCAGGCGGCCAATGCGCGCGTCGCCTACTACCTGAGCGGCTGGGTGATCCGCAAGCGCGGCCAACACTCCACCGAGGTGCCGGTGATGGTGGCGGCGCCCCACTCCACCTTCGGCGACGCCATCGTGCTCTTCTGCTCCGGCCTGCCGTCCATCATCTGCCGCAGCCAGACCATCGGCATGCCGTTCTTCGGCAGTACGTGTCTCACCGCTTCCGGGGGTGCTTCACCGCCGCCGTCCGACGCTGCCACCATCGGCTGGTGTTTCCGCCACCAGCGACGGTCCCAGTGCCTTACGCCACCTCCTGACGTGTCTCAGGTCTGGTCGCCGCCTGGCCTTGCCTGTTTCACCAGCCACCGTCTGACTTCCTTGTCCCCCACTTCCACCACCCTGACCTCACTTGCCCCCCCCCGCACCCCACCATCTGACCTCCCTTGTCCCCCTCACCATCTGACCTCCCGTGTGCCCCCTCCACCATCTGACGTCCCTTGTCCCCCCACCACCACCTGACCTTGTCCCCCCACCACCACCTGACCTTGTCCCCCACCACCATCTGACCTTCCCAGTCCCTTCCAGCACCATCTGACGTCCCTTGCCCCCCCCCCCCACCCCACCATCTGACCTCCCTTGTCCCCCTCACCATCTGACCTCCCGTGTGCCCCCTCCACCATCTGACGTCCCTTGTCCCCCCACCACCACCTGACCTCGTCCCCCCACCACCGTGTGACCTTCCAGTTCCTTCCAGCACCATCTGACCTGCCTTGTCCCCCCCCCCCCCACCACCACCTGACCTCCATTATCCCCTCCCTCCCCCCACTGTCTGATCTTCTCAATCCCTATCCGTACCATGTGGAATCCCTTGTTCCCCACCATCATCTGACCTCTCCAGTCCCTCCTTTCACCATCTGACTGCGTCTGAGTCCAGGGATTGGGGTGTCCGTCTCGTGCCGTCCTCGTTGTCAGTTCTCCAAAGCGCCGGGTCACAGCGGACGCGACCCCCCAGGTAGGTGCCGTAGACCGTGCTCCGTGTGGCCGCCGCTCCGGGCCGGAGGCGGGCCGCCGTCGGCCGAGGTAGGTGCGGGTCACGACCCGAGGCAGGCGTGACAGGAGACAGACGCGGCGGCGGCGCGCGATGCCAGCCCCGCGCGCGCCGCGCTCGTCCCGGCGACAGGGGGTCACGCGCCGGGCAGCGCTCGTCCGGCCGCGCCAGTCGCGGCGACGGGCCGTGCTTGGTCCGTCCCGCCGCTGGGGCTTCGGGGCTGTGCCGGCCGTGGCGAGGCCGTCGTCGACAGCGGAGCATTGCAGGACGGATGTTTGGTTAGACGGCTGTGTATTTGTAAACATACGACCGCGGGACGTGGATGGCAGCGAGCCGTGCTCTGTACATGTCTGCAAATTGATCGTCTACAGATGTCGTCGAGCTATAAAAAGACAGTATTGAAGCGGAGGCATTACGTAAGGCAATGAGTACGGCATTACGGGTCTTGTAATCTCTGTCTTCTTTTATTCCCCTGTCCTTGCATCGTGTCTTCACTTGCTTCGCCTGTCTTAGTCTGTATTGGGTGGCCTTGGTAGCGTAGGCGTGACGCGCAATCTACGGTCGGTAACGCTTGTCATCGTTTCGGCTTCATCCCCTGTTTTGATGTTGTTGCTGATGCGGTCGAATTGAAAGCAAAGCTGCATAGGTTAAAATTGTGGTTAACAATGCATAGTTGTTCGTGGACTGGACCTAGTTCGTGCTGTCCGTTTCGTGCGTCGTCATTGCATTGCCCACACCTCAGTGGATCGCCAAAACGCGCTCGCGCGCCCTAGCTCGGTCACACCCCGTGTGTGCGCGCGCCCATGGTGCCGATGTAAGGCCGGCGGCGGCCGGTGCGTTTCAGAGCTGATCGACTACACGCAGCCGGTGTACGTGTCGCGCGAGGATCCCAACTCGCGCCAGAACACCATCCGCGAGATCCAGAGGCGCGCCCACTCTGGCGGCGAGTGGCCTCAGGTGCGTGGCTGTCGCTGGCCCCGGCTCGGCCGACGGCCGACGCGCTCTCCTGTGCCGCCTCGGGGAAATGAACCGGTTTGGTGGCCTGCATTCTCTCCGTGCCACCGTATTTGGCACGGGTGTTGGTGATATGGGTGCCTTGGCGTTAACGTCCCTGCCGTGGCGTTTATGCCAGTTGTATATCTCAATAAGTACCATATATATATATATATATATATATATATATATATATATATATATATATATATATATATATATATTCAGGTTATACGTGCTGGAGGTGTGAGGGTGTTTCGATTGCGGATGCCTGTGTGAGCCTGAAATGCGACACTGGCCGCTCGATGTGTGCGACGTAAACCGCCGGCCGGCAGTCGTATGTTTCGCCTTGGAAGACAATATGGCTGCCCATCCGGAACTCTGCGCTCTGCAGTGTGTCAGCCCGCCCGCCAGCCGCCCTCGCCTCTGGACGCGGTGCTGCCCACGAGTGCTCGGCCGGCAGCTGTGTGACCGCCGCGCCGCATTCTCCGGCAGATCCTGCTGTTCCCGGAGGGCACGTGCACCAACCGGTCGTGCCTGATCCAGTTCAAGCCGGGCGCGTTTTACCCGGGCGCGCCCGTGCAGCCGGTGGTGGTGCGCTACCCGAACCGGCTGGACACGGTCACGTGGACCTGGGAGGGGCCTGGCGCGTGAGTGGCTGCCGTGCGCCAACCCCACCCGACACCACCCGACCCCGCGCCGCGCCGCCCCGCCCCGCCCCGCCCCCGCCCCGCCCCGTCGCGCCCCGTCGCTCCCTGCCGCTCCCCGCCGCTCCCTGCTGTGCCGTGCCCCGCCCGCCCCGCCCCGCCCCGCCCTGCCCCGCCCTGCCCTGCCCTGCCCTGTCGCCGCCGGCTCAGGTTGGTGGCTGGGCCTCGGCGCCGACGCTGCGGCGAGGCTCATCCCGGCGCCTGGTCTTCGTTTGCAGCGTCGTCATCAGAGATTGCGGTGCATGGGATCGCATAGTTTGTGTTTGGCAGGTGCAAAAAGCTCCGCGCTGTACAAACTAAGTTGTTATGAATGTCGTATGGGGTAGCGCTGCAGGAAATGTCTGAGAGCCATCGAGAAGAATGCCTGAATGTCTTATGGGACAGCGCTGCGGGAAATGTCTGAGAATCCTCGGGAAGAGTGCAAGTTAAGTGCAGGCTGTTGTATCGACGTCTTTCCTGAAACTGATTGCGGTCTTGTACATTTATCTTAGCTGCAAATGAGTGAGAGGACTACTATAGCTACGCTTTTGCTCATCTAAGCTTGTTGATTATTAGCGTGAGAACGTAGGTAGTTAATAATATTTGTCGAAGATAGTTGGGTCAAAATCAAGGGTATTGTCGAGTACCGCAGTACAAGCTACCTGAGTTCGTCATGAATTTAAGTACCGCTTACGTATGTTACGAAAGTACCAGTGTAATGCGCTAACATTACACCCTGGTAACACGATTGCGAGAAAGCTCACATTCATACACGCCAGATGCCGTGATTGGGCATTTGTGTTGGGCATTTTTAACTGGTCAGCACTGGGTCAGATGCTCCTGCCTATAGGGTGTGATGGCATCATTGCGCCTTTTGGAACGTTGCCTCTTACAGCGGAAGCCATTTCAAAAATGCTGCTGCTTCCACTGGACTCATACTGCCTCGATCTGCGTTCTTCTGGAATTAACTCAGTGGAAAAACTACATTTCCTATCTGCACTTCCTGCCGCAAGCATTTTGTGTTGGCCAGTTGTCCGAGGCCGGGCCCGGGCCTCCCGGGCTGAGGTCGTGTGGCGCCTCCCGGGCCGAGGTCGTGTGACGCCTCCCCCCCCAGCCCGCGGTGTGTGAGCTGCGATTGGTCGGCCGACCGGCTGACAGGCGCCGTGCTGCAGTATGTACCCCGGCCTCGGCCAGGGGGTCCCGATCGGAACCCTCCCGCTCAGCACGTGGCCCGGCGGACGGCGTTGACAAGCGCCATACCACAGTGTGTACCCCGGCCTCGGCCAGGGATCCCGATCGGAACCCTCCCGCTCAGCACGTGGCCCGGCGGACGGCGCTGACAGGCGTCATACCACAGCGTGTACCCCGGCCTCGGCCAGGGATCTCGATCGGAACCCTCCCGCTCAGCACGTGGCCCGCCGGACGGCGCTGACCCACGCCGTGCTTCCCGCAGCTGGAAGATACTCTGGCTCACGCTGACACAGTTTGTGAGCTTCTGTGAGATTGAGTACCTGCCCGTGTACGTGCCGTCGGACGAGGAGAAGGAGAACCCCAGACTGTACGCGCACAACGTCCGAGCGAAGATGGCAGAGTGAGTGGCGCGACTGCATAGCCTGGTCGGATAAACTGGGGCTTCTGAGTCGAAAAGTTGCGGAAAAGACATTAGCAATAGTCTTATTCATCGTAGCAAAACCAGGAAAATGGAGATATAGATAGGTTGATATTTCGGCAACATGCCTTTATGGAAACAATAGCAGAAAGCGAATTCACTCCTGCTATTATTTCGATAGAGGCATGTTGCAGAAATATCAACCCATCTATATCTCCGTTCTCCTGGTTTTTCTCCGCGGGATAAGGCTTTTGCTGCTGTCTTATCTATGTGAATATTGTTCTTCGCAAACGCACTGAACAACTCACGTAAGTGTGCGGAAATACTGCATCGTACATGCTCTGCTCAATGGCGTTCGAAGTGGCTCTGAATACTTAAATGCTCGCTTTTAGCGTGGACGCGTGCAACAAACAGATACATTTAAGCATACATAACTGCCCTTTTGTGATGGTACATTATAGCATTGTCATGAAGCGGCTTCTTTCCTTGGTAGGTGTTTTGGGCTGTCACATTGCCGGCCATATTTTTGCGCGTCCGGGACGAATATCCTACATTTTCTCGGACTGGGGTTGCATGTGGGCTGGTCCAATAAACACTAGGGGCTCAATGTACCCTCTTTTTTGTTCCTGGTCATGTGCCGGGTCTTCGAACGTCCGCGTCTCTCCCAACCGTTGTCCGTAAGCGCCGTGTCGTGCCGTGCCGTAACGTGACGACGTGGCGTGACGTGACGTGGCGTGACGTACCGTACCGTGCCGGTGGGTGGGGGTGGCCGGCGCCGCCTGACGCTGCGTATCACGGCGGCAGGGCGCTGGGCGTGCCTGTCACCGACTACACGTACGACGACTGCCGACTCATGAGCAAGGCGCGTGCCAACAATCTGCCCTGCGAGACCGGCCTGGTCGAGGTCACCAAGCTGATGCACCAGCTAGGCATCAACATGTCCACCATCGAGGCCGAGATGGAGTCGTTCGCCGAGATCGCGCGCAAGACGGACGGCCTGATCCGGCTGACCGAGTTCGCCGCCTACCTGGGCATCCCCACGTCTGAGCCTGGGCTGGTAGAGCTGTTCAACCTGTACGACTCGGTGAGTGGGCGCGACGACCAGCCGACCGCCGCGTGAGACGCGTGGCGACGGGCCGGTGCAGGCTGGGACGGCTCGGTGCCGGGGTCAGCGGGCCGGTGCCGGCTGGGACGGCTCCGTGCCGGGGTCAGCGGGGGCACGCGGGCCGGTGCCGGCTGGGACGGCACGGTGCCAGGATCAGCGGGCCGGTGCCGGCTGGGACAGCTCGGTGCGGTGCTGGGATCAGCGGGCCGGTGCCGGCTGGGACGGCTCGGTGCGGTGCCGGGATCAGCGGGCCGATGCCGGCTGGGACGGCTCGGTGCGGTGCCGGGATCAGCGGGCCGATGCCGGTTGGGACGGCTCGGTGCTGGGAGCAGCGGGCCGGTGCCGGCTGGGACGGCTCGGTGCGATGCCGGGATCAGCGGGCCGGTGCCGGCCGGGACGGCTCGGTGCCTGGGTCAGCGTGCGGCCCACCCTGACAGAGTCGGGCACTGGCTGGCACCGCGCCGGCTGTGGATCGCTTGGGACTTGTCGACGGAATGATAACACACGTAGGGGTCTAAACTGTCGCAACAAAACTGCGTAAAAATAGCAGCGTCAACAAAAACAACGCGACACCACAGCATATCAAGTAGGTTTTGTCCATGCAACGCCGTTCTGTGACCAGACGTGGCTTTCGGGTCACGAATCTTTTTTGCGTCTTTTTGCGTCTATGCGTCTTTTTTGCACACAATTTTGCAGCGCGTCCGCCTTAAGACCGCACATGAGCAGCACGCTCCTTCCACACGCAGCCTGGTCCCCTTCGACAATAACGCGTGCTACACGCCGCCGCCGTCAGCATCGGGACGGCGCGGCCTGTGCTCTGACGCGCCCCCTCCCCCTCTCCCCCTCCCCTCCGCCAGGACCGGGACGGCGTGATCGACTTCCGCGAGTACCTGCTGGGCGTCAGCCTCATCTCCAAGCCGTGCAACACGGAGGAGACGATTCGCCTGGCGTTCCGACTCTTCGACCTCGGCGGCAAGGGTCACGTGACGCAGCGTGACGTGACCAAGGCGCTGGCGCACACGCTGAGCATGACGGAGCAGGAGAGCGCCCGGCTCTTCCAGCAGGTGCAGAAGGCGCACGACGACTACATTACGTTCGGTGAGTGGCGCCGCTGGCGCTGGCGCGGCGGGCTCAGGGTAGCGATCTGTCGATCGTCGTTGATCTGTTGATCGTTGATCGATCGTTGATCTGTTGATCTGTTGATCGTTGATCGTTCGTTGATCTGTTGATCGTCGTGCGTGCGTGCGTGTAGATGTTTTGTGTGAGGGTGGGAGGAGGCGTGTGTATCGGTATCCCCGTATGAACCCTGCGCTGGTATGGGGATGTCTTTGCTCGTGCTGGAAGGCTGTGGGGGCTTTGTCGGACGCGCTGCGATGTGGTGTAGCGCGTGGTGGTGTTCTACGGCGTGCGTATATCTGGTGGGCATAGCACTTAGGCACACGTTGGTAGAATGGTAAACAACTTGTTTCGCGTCCTACAGAGGAGTTCCGTGCGCATGCGCAGAAGAAGCCGGAGTACGCCAAGATATTCTTGACCTGGCACGGGCGCATGACCCAGGAGAAGGAGAAGAGTCAGTAGCCGCTGTTGGTGCGCCGAGGCAGTCTTAATCACTCCACGAGGCGCCGCAACTTAAGAAGACAACCAAACGAACATAATATTGGTGTACAACGGCTTTTGCTGCTTGTTTGCGATTGTTATGTCCAACAGCTGTCAAGGTGATGCGGTTGGCACAGCGTGGCTGGCCGGCAGTCATCGGCGTCCGGTGCGGCCTAAGTCTTGCCACGGCAGCGGGTGGTCGCGGTGCGGTGCTGGCTGGTCCCCGCGCCAGCCGGCGGCCCGTTCCAAGGTCAGGCCAGCGGCAGCGGGCGGTCCCGGTGCGGTGCTGGCTGGTCCCCGCGCCAGCCGGCGGTCCGGTCCGAGGTCGGGCCAGCGGCAGCGGGCGGTCCCGGCGTGGTGCTGGCTGGTCCCCGCGCCGGCCAACGGGATGGTCCAAAGTCAGCCCGGTGGCCGACTAGGGCGTCCATCCTGCCTAGCTGGCCTGCGGCTGGGCTGGCCGGCCGGGGGTGTCGCCGGCGCGCTCGTGGGCGGTCCGGGGCGCAGTCGTGGCCCGGTCCGGCCGCGTCAGTGGCGGGTCCTGCGTCCACCTCGATCTGGAGGATCGCGGTCGCGTCTGAGGCCGGCCGCTGGGCTTGGCCCATCCGCCACGGCCGGTCAGACTGGCTGGCGCCGACGCCTGGCGTCGACCTCTGGGACCGCCGCCGCCGCTGCCGCCACTGGCCCCCGTTTTAGCATGAGATTAGCCGGGAACGTTATTTATGTGTGCGTGTTTTGTAGTCGCAGTTTCAACGAAATTGACCGAAACTTGTGCGAGACACAGTGCCTGGAGCGGCCGGCTTTTACGAAGGGCGACCGCCAGGATTTCGCTGTTGCGTGATGCTTAGATCTGGATGGAGTATTTATCGCTGCGAACGTAAGGATAATTGCAGGAGAAAGGTGGCACTGAATCGATGAGGATGCACGTTGGTGAGGTAATTCTGCAACACATTGCGGGGCTCGGGACATGAAAAACATGTTTGGTGAAATACTGGCGAAGAGCCACCAGCCGAACCGTTCTCGGCGTGGCTCTTGCGCCTGGCTGCAGCTGTGTGCGTGTGCTTGATTGTGTGCGTTCATGTTTTAAGCCACGTTTCGCGGCGGTTTTAAGGCGCGGCTCTCCGGCTGCCGACGAGCCGTTCTAGTCGGGAGCCTCGCGTATGCGGGCCGCCCCTGGAATGTTCGCTGTGCTTGGCCAGCAGTCGCTCTCGGTCTCCGGCGCGGACTCCTCGCACCGCCCCGCGGCCGGCGCGCGCGGATGCCCGACGCAGGCGCCGTCTATTCAGTGACTTAAGCGTGTACTTATATAGGCGGCGCTGTCGGACTATACCGGACGCTGGTCCGTATCGTGCCGGAAGGCCCCTTCCACAGGCTGCTGGCCGGGCGCCCGTCAAATCAGACTGTAAGCCCCGTATTATCGTGTTTGTCTGCATAATGGAACGGTTCTGCAATGGCCTGGGGTGTTCTTTGAATGTTGCCAATTTGCAATACACAGAGCATCGGGATGCTGTGTTGACAAAGTGGCGGAAGGAGGCATTTTCGCCCTGTTCGTCCCGTTACCTTAAGGCTTTCGCTCTCCCCCCCCCCCCCCCCCCCCCCCCTCTCTCTCTCTCTCGCTCTCCAGACCAGCCCGCACATTACTCTACAGGCGGAGATTGTTTCCATCAGCCCACCGCAGCCGTGCCAATCCACAGGCGAGGTCGTTCTCGGCGGGTCAAGGGACTGCCCGCGTAAACGGCCCGGCCGCACACCGATCTACAGCCGTGACAGGCTGGAAGCCCGACCCTTCTACGCGCGCGTCAGATGTTTTTCTCGTGGCTGGAATGACTGCTGGGATCGCACTGGAGTATTCAGGGGAGTGCTCTCCTGTTTTCACCCAGCGCCAGCTGAAATACGCGGCAAACGGCGGTCACATCGGTGTTAAAATTAGCCACTGAGCAGAGCTCTCGGCATCTAACTCGCATCCTAGCGGTTCAAATGAAAATTGGCAGCCCTGGCCGATTTCGTCCACAAATCGCCGAGATAACCTCCGCCGCATGAAGTCTTAACTACGCATCGTGGAGAACTTCTGACCAGATACGATGATTACTGAACCATTTCATGATCCATAGCAGTCAAAACAATGCAGTGATAACAGTCATAACAGTAACCTAGTTAAGAAGCTACGGCTAGGTCGCGTGCTGCTGGTTCAAGTTCGAGTCAGCTTATCATCTGCGATTTTTTACCACTTTTCGGTCCACATTCCTTAAATAAGTCGGTTAATCAGTTACTGTGCTCGACCGTTACTTATGCCGTTTTGGCCAAATCACAACGGCGACAACATCCTCCTGGTTCGTTTCTTACCGGGCAACCCTCCGGCGTTCCGAATATAAAGAGCAGGCATCCGGACTGGCCGTTGTCAGGAAGTCAGCCCCCAACGTCGGCCATCAGGGTCCAGATCAAGGTCCAGGAACGACCCACTCTTTATCGACCAATGTCATGGCCCCAAATCAGCTGTTTTAAAACGCGCTCCGGGTGAGGGTCAAATTGACTCCCCCAAGGGCCTTTCTGGAATGGTTTCAGAACGGCGCGGCGCACCCGCCTTACATTTTGCAAGAATGTAGACAATTGAATGGCGGAATTTTATGGCTATCAAGAAATTAGATGAGCCTCTTAAGATCGCTGACCTAAGGCAGGTCAAAATCAGCACACGGATTCCACGAAGTTAATTTCTAGGAAATCGTCCAATCTGATGGAGCAGCAGAGTGTCAGACGAAGCTGTACGCCTCTGAAATACTTTCTTAGGCAACAGCCATTGAAGGACCAAATTTCATTGACCTTGGGTCAGGTATGAAGATCGAACCAAGGTCAAAACCAATCTGTTTATACTCTGGGGCTCGCCGCACTGGGTGGTTTCTGGTGCTCATTTCGAATTGATTGATACCACGTAAAAACATCTTCCATGGACTTCTTAAAGGTCAGAATAGGCCAATGACCTAAATGACCCAGGCCAAGATTTTGTTTTCAGGGGGCATATTGCCAACCGCACTCTTTGTCGCTTATTCAAATGCAATATTCAAAGCAGTCTTATATGATTCCTGTCATCACGACTTTCTAAAGGTCAAAACAGGCCACTGACAGCAAATGAAGCGCGTGACCTTTGCTTAGAACAGGTATCTAGGTTCTGGAGACACTTTGGGAGACCAGCTTGGAGTTTAGCTTTGTTGACCTTATTCGACCCGAAGGTCATGACATAGGAGGCCCAAACTTTGACTCAAGTGAGTTCACGTGCAGGCCAACACACCCTGTGAATTTTGATGTATCTGTGGATACCAGGAACCCAGAGCCCTCTTGTTCCTGAGATCTCAGAGGGGTCATATTGACCTCCACCCGAGCGAAGGGTATCCAACCGGCCGCCCGGGCGAGGTTAAATGGGGCAGCATTAATATTCTTAATCCTCGTAGAATAAGCAGGAGAATGGACAGATGTTGTGTGACGCTTCGACAACACGCTTTTGTCGAAGCAAATATCATTAGTGCATTATATATTATGCTTGAATGGATTTTCATTATCACACAATGAATGTACTACCGATCTTCGTTTCGATAAAGGCATGTACCCAAAATATCAAATCTATCTCTTCATCCTCCTGTTTACTCTACGAAGAAAATGACTATGAATGCTGTTTCATCTATGTGCATAATGCTCCCCGCAAATGCACTAAACAACTTACGGTTGTCATAAACAGCAAAGTGTGCTGTGCCTCTCGGATGAACTTTTGTGAATGTAACCTGGACTTTCAGATTCAAGTTTACTATTCCAGGTCCAAATTAAAAGGGCGCGCTCCACCTATATATGGAGGGTTTGAACTGAAATAGCCATTTTGAGGACCTTTCGGTGCTGTTCAATATCATGCTCCTCTTAAGACCTAATCCCCTAGTTTCTGAACTACACTCCCGCGAAAATAGGAAAAGGTATATGGGGGAGAGTATTTCAAAATCAACTTCGCATTCATGACAGCATGATAACGTTATCTAAACCTTGCCGTTCGAAAAGCCATGCGGCGATGGCGATCCAAGCCATGCCGAGGCAAATGCAATTGCCGAGGTGTTCATAGCTGACGTTCGTGAGCGCGATTTCCAAATATAACGGACGGAATGAAACCATGACGCATTGAGGAGCAGTTTTAGTAACCAGAAAGTTGTGCTATCTACAGCAGTCTTTTCCACGTAAAAAGTATACCAATATTCTATGTCAGCTTGCCTAAGCGTACCTGATGCTCGCTTCAAAATCTTCAACTGCGAAACATTCTCTTTAAAACTCGGTGGCGGGCAACTCTACGCCTGTCGACCAAGATCATGACACCAAACAGGCGTATACCACTAAAAAAGCAGTTAGTTCCGTTAACGAATTTTGTTTTTATTCTTAAAACTGCCGGTTGTCATAGCTCTTGTCCGTGTGAGCTTTCCGTTCATTCCCTTTTGATTTGTACCTTGACGGGTGGAGTTAGAGTTTCAGGTTGACACAGCAGAGGCTAGGTCAAGTGACAAACGACATCTTGATCCTAAATTTTTCATTGGACGACATAATTCAAGCCAATTTGGAGCTCCCCGGCATTTTGCTTTGATTTTGACCCTAAAGGACGACCTTGAGAGCAAACGTTCATCGTTTTGCTGAACAAATCGGTGAGGTTGACTTGAGGACAGTTTGGGCGCAATCGTAACCCCACGTTGAATAGGAGTGCGAATACCACGCCAGCTTCCCGTGAACAGGCGGCCGCGGGTAAGGCTAGGTCAGCTCGGCAGTCGATTTGCTGAGGCTCTAAAATGCAACAAGTGCCTCCGCGAAGTGCAAGTGTAATATGTTGCCAACTGCTAACACCTTTTTTCTCCACATCTGAATGTGATTGAATATGGGATCGTTTTAGACCAGCATTTGTTAACGGTATAGTTATTTGTGAGGACATTGGACCCTTCGCCACCTTGGGACTTTAGCCAAAGATAGTTGATGGTTTTATGGAATGCCTGTGATGAGGTGTTAGAGCAATAAATATTTCCGCAAACACGTGTCCATGCCAATGGTGCTAGTGTGGCATTTCTGTGAATTCCCTTTCCCGCTGTCGTCAGGTGTATCGGTGTAGATAGGTTTATCAGTGTGGTTAGCCGAACATGATGAAAACCTGAGGATGTTAGGATGTTACAGCAATGCATGCACTATAACCTCGAAGGTACTTGCCGGCTATGTGCTTCGAACCCACGATCATGTAACCGTAGACCAAAACGCTGACCGCTACACTATCGAGTGCGAGACCCTCTCAGGTCCCTATCGGCACTGAATGACATATCACTACGGCTGGAGACATAACCGTCCGAAACGCCTCGTGAGCATTCATGTCATTCGCGTTGGCGATAATCCAAAAACAATGGTCGGATCTCTGAATGGCTGACATGCAGTCCGACTGCGCCAACGCTGCTAGCGTGACCACCTTGGCAAATTATATTAAAATTGCGCTATAGAGTGCATGCTTGGCTAAGTATGCGTAAGTAGGGCATGGTCACGTCCCAAATGCCCTCGCATAGCCCAGTACAAAGAGCCACACTTGTTACAAACACGATAATCATATGGGAGAGATCAAG